GGGGGCGTTGAGGGATTTTTTAAATAATGTTTTCTTTAGTAGAGGTGAGTAAATTCAAAATAGGTTACTGCCAAAGTGGAGCAGTCTTCTTTTCTCGCAGTACCTTTTGAATGCATTTTCAAATGAAATATATATATAGGCCTATCTAGTATGAGAACATTGCCCTTTCTAACCACAATTGAAGTAGCTGAATATTCCGACATCTAAAAATCTCTAGATCTAGCTCTTGAAATTGAATTCGATGCAAGAAATTCTTCTTCCCTGTCCTCGCAGAATGAAGAAAGATGAAGCCGAACTCTCTCAAATAACCTAAAAATCTTGAGAACGGAAACTGTTCGGAGAAATAAAGGTCAAGATTATTTTCCAGAGCATTCGGAGAAATAGTCACTTCGAAAGAAGGCCTAGAAGAATGCAGGCATTTGAATTTGATGATTAGTCATAGTCATAGGAATTATGAAATGCGTGTCACCCATGCCTAGACTAAAGTGTTCTACATGATATTTTGACTGAGTAGAGAGAAATTCCCTTTTTGCCTTATTTATTAAAATTAATTCTTCTCTAACCAGAATTAATAATTTCATGGATTTTTTTTCTTGAACGGCCATTTAATTAAATCCGATGTCTTTCAGAATTTACGTAAAAGTTTTTGTATCACTGACAAGTTTTGATCTAGATCTGTCTCTTTCAACATTCGAAAAAAAGTCAGCCATCAGCACCTTGAGGGACGTGGATTATGTTAACATAGGCTATTGTACTGTTTCCTTGACAGGAGTTTTTCCGAAAGTATGACAAGGATGCAGATGGACAGATTGATTTCCCTGAGTTTGTGAAGTATGTGAAGGAACACGAGAAAGATCTGAGGTCGTATTTCACCAAGATTGATACAAACTCCGATGGTAAGTGTTCTGTTGTCATTTCTTGGTTCAGTAGTGAGGGGTATAATAAAATAAACACTTGTGTTTCTATAGTTTATTCTTTTTCAGTTTAATTTTAATACATAAGTCATGATAAGTTTTGTAGTTCGTGCAACACAAATCGGAAGTGCCGAAGGTTACAGGTGTTACTTTAGAGTAACATAATATGTTAAATATTATTTTTAAAAGAAGGAAGAAAGGTTATATAAAAGGATAATGCTGATAGATGTTTGGAAGGAGCAAACCTCTCAAGTTTTTTATATATATATTTTTTAAAACTTTGTAATATATGCATAGAAAGATTGTTTTTTTTAGTAAGAGTTTTACTGTACTTGCAAAATAAATAGGTCATGATGTAAGTACAGAAGATTCGACATTAGATAAAGAATAAATGTTATTTGAGAGTAACTTACAAAGAAAAGGAGAAGACATAAAAAAGGACGATAGATGTTTGATACGAAAGAAGAAGTAAACCACATCGGAGCACCTGCTAACCATCCACACTGTTTATTCTTCATACTAAGATACACACTCAAAGATTTTATTGTCATGGTCATAGTCCAATTGTTTTACCTATTATCATCCTTCATATTGATTTTCTCAGGGTTTTAAAAAATCCTTTTGAACTCAAATACGATATAATACTCTTTCCTCAGGAACGATTGATGCCGGAGAAATTGTGGAATCCTTCAAAAAGATGGGCGTACACATTGAGAAAGGAGAGGCTCAAAAACTGCTGAAAAGGTGACTCTTAGAATTATTGTTCTTGATTCCAACCATCTCTTCATCAGTTATTGTTTTGTGGCAAATAAACTAAATACAGTTGTATGCTTCCCGGGAAGCTGAGATTGTTCCTCAGGGTTCAAGGGTCTGCCGGGATAAAAATGCTTGTAAAGTGCTGAGAGGGTGCTGAAGAGCATAGATACGCTCTATATAAATGCAGTTGTTATTATTATTATTATCATCATTTTATCATCATTTTAAAAGTTATTATATAGGATTTTTATTTTTTAAAATTATCATTACTCATTA